CCACGAAGATTAAATGCCCTAAGAGCAGGTAGCAGCTGAATTTAATTAAAAATCTGAAAAGAAGGGGAACGAGAAGTGCAATAAATTTGAAAAATATATATCTTCTGGTGTCGCAAGACCTCTTTAACTAAGAAATATATAGTCGAACTAGTTTTCTGGGAAACATTAAATTATAGAAACTAGACAGCAATTAAAAAAAACATTTATGAAATATTAACTCTATTAATCATTCTAATGAAGTCGATTTATAAAAATATTGGCTATTTGTGTTTTGCCAAATTATTTGCCGGAGAGAAACCGATGAAATTCATTTCAGCACACCACTTATCTCCATTAGATTTTGATGGCGTTTAAGGCATTCTCCGAATCGAATGTTAAACCGTTAACCGCCACAAGGTTCGAGTCAATAAACCGCTGCCGTCTGCGGTGACTCTGTTGCTGTGCGAGATCAAGTTGCATTTTTATGGGGCCAAGGGTCGTCGTGGCCACCACCGCCATACCATCACCATCATCATCATCATGACCATCGTCTTCATCATGGTATCTTCGCCTACGTAGGCGCGTGCCTGGAAAATTGTGTGCAATACACACTCCGTCGTTCCAGCTGAGCCATTAAAGAGGCATAAATCTTGGTTATGAAATTGGAAATGATTTGCTCTGCAGACACGTTCAAGTAGGGAGCACACAATGCATATAATGCTTCGAGAACTGATGCGTTCAGGAAGTATAGAGCCCGAAAAAAGCGTTAATGAAAAGGAAAGTTGGTCAGCGGCACAAGAAAAAATGCCACTTCATGCCCACTGCCACCGGCGTGTTGTAGAAAGAAAAACAAAGACGTAAAGACGGCGAAAAGAAGCCAAGGCAGCCAAAGAAGAAGAAATTTCTATAAACAAAGAGATGAGTAGCAAAGGCAGAGCAAAATTATCAAAGAACAACAAAAACGAAAAAAGAAGTGGAAAATGGGACATGGCACACTCTTGGGCCCACAGAAACAACAAAGACCGAATGAAATTCATGTCGTTGTCGCGCTCATAAATTCTTCTACGCCTATATATCGCTGGCTATCTGAAAGATACACCCACTCTGTCGGAAAAACTACCAACTCATTCAACCGGGGAGGTGCTGCCTGCATCCGCTCCATGCTTATTATACCTATTTCCAAATACAAAAAAAAGAATCTATGTAAATTTGTGTATTTTGAATAAATTCCAAGCCCATGGGAGGTGTGAGGCTTTACCGTACAATTCTTTTTTTGTTAGACCCTAAAACAAGTGATTCACACACAACGAAATGGAAAGCGGGGAGAAATATACGAAGTCTACTTTATAAATTCAAAGTCAGAGGAATGTTCGACCGAAAGCATAAGATAAGCTTAATTAGCCAGCCAACAAATTTCACTTTCCTTCGGTACAGAACGGTCGTTTCTAAACTATTTCTGAATGTCCAACGATTACTGCGCCATTTAGGCATTTCCACTAATTGGCAGCCGTTTCGATTTCGGGGGGTGGGAACGAACTCACGTGCCGCCCATCGATCGGCAGAAAACTATCCGCCTTTAAAATAAAGTGAACTTTAGGATCGCAGAAACCCAACTAGAACGACAACAACAACATCGAAAGTGGGTTTATTTTCAGCCTCAAGTGCAAGTCCTATAAGAAGATCGAACAGAACAAAACAAAACACTTGATGAATGCAGCTGAAGGAGGTGCCAAAACCAAACAAAATCAGCAGAAGGGTGCGGAGAATGGTTTATTTTACGTTATTTCATTTATTTTCTTTTTTCCCCTCAATGCGGGCAGGGCGCACACAAATGAAAACAAATTAGCTTAGGCAGCATTAACAGCCGGCTGCAAAGGGCGGAAGTACGGGGGAGTTTATTGTTAATTTCATAAACACCACAAAACACCACATCGGGAAAAAAAACACCACAAATATGCAGCAGTAGCAACAGCCAACAACCACCAAACCGGCAAAATCCCAATAGGGCAGCTGCATTTTAGTGGGAAGCCCAAGTGGAGGATGCATTCGTATTGGGAGCTATAGTTTCTCGATCCGTAATAACACGACCGATGAACATCTGTCGCAGTTTTACGTGGAAAACTGTCTTTCCGCTGAATCGGAATCGGAAAAAAGGGAGAAACTGTGAGACGGTCAGGAAAAGAGCGAGAGATGGGAAAACACAAACATCGGAAGCATCTTCTTCATAACTTGCAAATGTGTTTGTGTTATTTTTACATTTCCGCTGCTTACGAAAATATTTACGCTCCCCTTCGCTCCAGACCTTCCCCATTTCGAATTTCAAATTGAAAATTCCACACGCTCGCACACACGCACGTGTTAGAGATGAGCAAGATTTTGAGTGCATCGTATGGTGACAACAGGTTCGATTAAAATGAGCATGTAAATCTTTAAGAAGAAATACCTTAAGGGTGTACTTGGGTTCAGAAAAACGGATGAAACATTTGCTTTTAAAATTAGACCGAATGCTGTCCTAAACGGATGTAATAAGCCACCACAAATGTAAGTACTTAAAAAATGTTGTTATCAAAAATTTGTACGCAATTAATTTTTTATAATGACTAAGGTTTAATTTAAAAATTAATCTGACGTTCTTAAAGACTTTCTTATCTGGAGTTTAAATGGACGCTCGACAAATATTTAATACATGTATTCAAAGAAATAATTCTAAATAAATAACAAGCTATGATTTAAGATACATTTTCAGATACATTCCCTAGTTCAAACGTCCTAGAAACGAAAACTTTTCCCTTACTACCTCATCTCCTAAGATGCAGCGAAAGCAGTGGGTGGAAACTCTTGGCAGGCAGTGTGCGAAAGCTAAGGTCAGGCCCCCATCTCTAGGTCGCTTCCGCACACAAATACTCACACACACCGATACGGAAATGCCACCGATAACAGTTGTTGTAAGACCAGCGCATCCACTAAATCCGGGCTTTAACCGATTCCTGCTAATACTATTTATTTACCCGTTTGGTTTTGGCGACTGCTCTCTCTCCCCCTTATTCGCTCTCTCCTTTTCCGTTCTTATTGCCGTGTGGCCATAATCCAATTATGTGTGTATGTGTCTGCTCTCTATTGCAATTGCAGTTATTCGCACTCGCCGCGGTATGCAACCCACACACTGCCACTCGCGCACTCACACGCACTCGCAGACATTCAGATGCGAACACCGAAAATCCTGAGCGTCAACAAAATAAATATAGCTCTGCGGTTTAAAATAGGTTTTCACTCGATTCTGCGTTGGCTGTCGCTGGTCTCGTCTTGTTTATGTGCATTCGTTGTTGGCCGTGTTGTGTGTACTTGTTTTTTTGTTAGACGCGACTGTCCATTCAACACTTCCCCGCCGACGCAGGGCGACACTTGTTTGTTGTATAAGATTCACTAGGGATATCAATTGATTATAATCCAGTCTGGAACGGAGCAAAACATGCAGGTTTTATTTATGTCTGCACTCGCGAAAAAGCGTCCACAAATTAACTGTTTTTCGGGAGCGACGCGCAGCAACGTCCGACTTTGTTTTCCGTCTCGTTTAGAGTGACCGTTGTATGATGCGGCCGAAAGCCTAAAACCGTTGTGCGCATTGTTTAATGTGGCCAGTTTATGCGAGGCCGATTTGGCCAAATTATTTACTTATCATAACATCAAAACTGGAAAGAGTTTCCTCGCCAGTATTCGCATCGACGAAAACCGAGCGTTAACTATAGGAGAGTGCGAGAGCCAAATAGGCAGCCTTCGCTTTTCGTCGGGTCCTTTTCTTACCGCGGTACTCAGATGGGTTAAGGAAATACCAAAAATATACCAGAAGTCCTGAGTGAATTTCGTTGAACGGTGGTTACCCGCGCAAAGAACAAGAAATTTAAACTTTCGCTGTGTTAGTGCAAAAGCGTTGTCAAAAAAAAATATAGAGGATAAAACCACAAAAAAACGACGGCAGAGGTCAGTGCAGATGAAAGAGGATCCTAATAAAGAAATTGTAGTTGGTGCAGAACCAAGGAGCCTTCCAAGGCTCGAAAATCTGTAACTGATCTGAATGTAAAGAAAATATTTCTATGATATTTTTAAGGAAATGACCGTTTGTCCTTCTTAGCCAACTAATGGACGAAAACACACATTATTTGTCAAAGGTAGAAGCCATTTGGTGTCGCATACCCACCAAACTTGTTGCTTAAAAAATGGATATGGTTAAAGAACCGTATTCCTTCGGTAAAACTCAATTTGCACGCCCTCGCTACAGTTTGCTTATGCCGATCAGCTGTTTGCTTTAGCGAACATTTAAACAAGAACAGAGGCTAATATGGAAGAAAATTGCTGAAGCAGAACCCCTCTGTCTGAACAGGGTACTTAGCCGCCAGTCTGGCGGTTCGATTACTTCGGTGCTCGATATTTTTCTATCGATATTTAAGCCAATTTATTTAACATTAATTTAAACAGATTATATAACAGGTTTTAGTGTTTTATTTAACAATTAAATGCGACTACTTTTCTTGATGTACTTCATGTACTTCTTGGCATTGAAGTTGTCCTCCACCTCCTCCATGATCTTGACCTTCTTGCGGGCTTTCGGGCCTCCAGGCGAGATCTTCGCTCGGCATCGGTCAAAGTGCTCAGATCCAAGGGGAGCTGAAGGATGGAATACGTATATTAGACTTTATACTACATGTTGGATAGCCTTTTACCTTGATAATCTTCCTTGGCTCGTGGTAGCGTATGTTTATCGTGGAACCATCGGGCTGAACAACTACAGTGGGATATAACCGACAATAAACAGAGCGATGCAGTCTGGTTACAGCCGTTGTGGCAGAGGAAATGCAGCGTATTTGCTGCACTGCCTGCGGCAACTGTTTCAGCAGCATTTTAATTGATAATTCAAGTATTTAATATCTATTTTACTAAATAAAACACACGAGTTGTTTTTCTTTTGTCAAACAGCTGATGGTGTGGCCTATGTATGGAAGTGGTGTTAATACCAGCAAATATGGTTTGTAGCCCTGGTATAGTTAAAGATTGTTTGGTATTTCCATCAGCTGTGGTCACACTCGTACTCAAAGTGTAAGTGTTGGTGCTGGGGCGGAAATTCCTATTTCTCGTTAAAAAATAAGTACGTTGCTTGAAAAGCTATTAAATAATAGAAATTCAAGGCGATTTGTTAGGCTAAAGAAGTGATAAACCTTCAGGTCTCGAAAAAGAGCAGAGAAAAGGGTTTCTGCTCAGGAGTACTCGGTGAAACAACTGCGGTTAAGAAAAATTACATAATTTTTGCAGGCATAATTTTCCGTGTGTTATGGATAGGGATTATATCAAAGAACCACTTATTGCCACTCAACTAGACATCTAAACTAAACCAAGTTCAAGGGAAACCCCTAATCAGCCATACCACTTTGCTCCACCAAAAACCTAACCTCATCCGCTTTTGTTGTTGTCTTCCAGTTCTTGTGCAGAATGGCCGCCCGCCGCATCGCCCAATCCTCGATCAACTGGTCCGCTCTTGCCGAGCGTGTGCCCGCCAACCAGAAGAGCAGCTTCGGCGCCTTCAAGACCAAGTCGGACATCTATGTGCGCGCCGTCTTGGCCAACCCCGAGTGCCCGCCCCAGATCGATTGGGCCAACTACAAGAAGCTGATCCCGGTGGCCGGACTCGTCGACACCTTCCAGAAGCAGTACGATGCCCTGAAGGTGCCCTACCCCCAGGACAAGGTTTCGCCCCAGGTGGATGCCGAGATCAAGGCCTCCCAGAGCGAAATCGATGCCTACAAGAAGGCCTCCGAGCAGCGCATCCAGAACTACCAGAAGGAGATTGCCCATCTCAAGTCGCTGCTGCCCTACGACCAGATGACCATGGAGGACTACCGCGACGCATTCCCCGAGAACTCGCTCGACCCCATTAACAAGCCCACCTTCTGGCCCCACACGCCCGAGGAGCAGGTCGGCTACAAGTCCAAGGAGCAGCTGGACGCCGAGGCCCAGGGACACCATTAAGTACTCTCTGGGTGGAGGATACTGGCGCTTGGCAGTCGTTGGTCGTCTGTTGATTCGAAATGTAAACCACGTTGAAGTAAATTACCCAAATTAAATTCATTTCAAATGAAAGCTGTTGGGGTTTTCAAGGTGCGGTGGTTTCTATATTTTACCCTATTAGTCAGTGAAGAAGACATTTCGACCACTAAGTTATGTATGTTCGAAACGCGAATCAAGTGCCGCGTTTCTTTAGCCATGTCCATCAATTTCTACTCGAACAGGTAACTCAGTTTAAAGCCATCCGTGTTAAAAAAAAAGAATAGTTAAATTAAACAGGAACACAACGACTACTTGCTCTCTTCGGGCATCCTCCATCCTATCACCTACTGACAGCCTAGCTGCTTTGATAGAATCTCAAGAGCGAGTTATCTCTATAAGGTCTGAACATTCTGACATTGAATCCATCCAGCGCACCACCAAAATGATGATATAATAATTAAAATGAGTGTTTATCAATGCACCTTTGCGTTGCCATATGCCATATGGACTGGTTGAGATTGTTGGCCGGATGTAGGTATTGACGCTCTGCCGTTTCGAGCTGCAGGCACTTTTGAACCAGTTTCAGTTGGGTCTGCAAATCGGAAATCTTGTTCAAGAATCAGGCTATGGAGAAGTTGGAGCGCAGTATATCTATGGTCATCGAGGACTAAGCGAATTAAGGATTTCTTGAAGCCGATAATCTTCTGGTTATTCTCCTAAATGTATTTAGGTTTAGCTTTATTTGCTTTAAAACAGTTTTTGAAAAAAATATGTAACTTCTACATGCAAAAGCGCCCTCAGGGGGACGGTGGCGGAACTACCACAAATTTAAAAGTAACAAATCTCCATTTTGGAAATTTATTTATCGCAGAACTCTACCGTGGATTGAGTCCCACTGTCAGTATTTATCAACCTCGGTTTGAGTCCACGCCTTTTGGTATTTTTGTCTCACAAAACAAGTCTGAATTTTATAAGAGTTCTTGGAGACTTATTTTATCACAGAACTCTACCTTGGTTGGAGTCCATACTTTGCAGTATATTTAGTCTGGATTTTCACGATCAGTCACACGCCTTAGTATATTTGTCAAACAGCCGTTGGTAATATTCAAAAGTGCTTCACAGCCACTCTGATCTCCTTCTCTTGAGAGAATCCAAGCAGTGCTCTCTTCGGGCTCCCGAAAATCCGTTAAAAAGCTTCAAGACGCCGCTCAAATCTCGTTTCCTCTTTTCCGCTCACCTGAGGCACCTTTTGCAAAGCCGCAGCCGCAGCCGCAGCGCGTCTTAACTTGTCTCGAGGTGCACAGAGTTCCAAATGCCGCACGTTCAGTCGCGAGCGAATCGAGTTGGAGTGCAAACGTCTCAAGCGGAATCTCAAGTTGTAGCGCTAAACGCAGCGATCGGAGTGTAGATATATACATATGTGTATCGCTGAAATACAAAGTTGAACCAAGTTGGAATTTGCCACCAGTCGAAAAACATCTCGAATCGAATAAATATCTGAAATTTGCATAAGGCGCAACTAAAGACGCGCTCTGTCAGTTAACCCACTTTCTAAACGACCAAACCAAAAAAAAAGAATAATACTGCGACCGATATTCAGCAACAACGAAACCAATTAACAAGCAAATAATGCCTGGCAAATACACCGAATAACGTGCAAGTGATTCATGGTTTTTTTCTTCCAAGTGAAGTGCCCAAGTAAATCGAAACATAGCTAACGTCAAACAAAAAAGCTGACTGCAAAACGCACTGGAAGCGATAACGATACCTGGAACGCCCCCCACCAACGACTGTCAGTCAGTTGAAACCGCAACTGCAGCAGCAGCATCTACTGGGCCTGAAACAACAACAGCAAGTACGGATTGCAAACAGCCCGGGTAAGTTACACCATCGTACATCATCGCACAAAAACAACAAGATCTTCAATAATGGGGGTTCATAGCTCGCAGGGAGCCTTTTGCTTGTGCCTTTACCTTTCCTCGGTCTGCAAACGGGTTAACAAGCTGCGGCTAATACTTGCGATCAATGGGCCTGCAAAAATGCAACAGCCAAAGCGTGTTAGAATGAATTTCTTAACGTTTCCAACTAAGCCATACCTTGTATTTCTTTGTATCGAACGTGAATGATCGTGCACCTAGGAAAAAAGAAATACAAATCCTAAGTGCTATTTCGTAATAGTTTTCTTAAATTCCCATAATAACTTTGAATATCAAATCAAAAGTAAAAATCGTATATTTATTAGTGCAAAAATTTCAAAACCATTAATTTGACTTATGAATAATCCCAAAAACGTAAGATTTGTAATGGCGCTTGAAACAAAATGTTAATCCGATTAAAACAGAAAAAATCAAAAATCATTACTCTACTAAAAACCGATCAGCATGACACCCCAAAATTCAATTATCAACAGAAAAGATCTTAATCCAAATGATATTACTCCAAACAGGGGAGCTATTTATATAAACCCCAAATACGGAATACCTTAAAAGTGCGTGTACAGAGAACCATAATCGATTCCTTGGGGTCCTCCCGTTTAAGGGGCATGCATTCCATATTTCATAATCCGCTGTCTGGCAGCATAACTTTTAGCACCTTTGAGCACCTTCTCAGTTTCGCATTTCGCCAATGCAAAAACACACACACTCTCGACACTCGGGGGGCTATAATTTCTTTGTATAATTATTACTCGTCTGGCATATTTTTTTTTCGCTGGCATTTTAAAGCTGTTTTGACCGGCGCTGACTTTGTGAAATTTTTGAGTTAAAGCCACCAGTTTTTGTTGCTTTTTGTGCGCTCGTTTGCATAAACACCTAGCGGATAATTCGGAACGTATTTGACTTAATTTAAATAACTCACTTTAGGAAATTTCTGCCAACTTTCCTTTGGGCAGCGGAAATGTGCACAAGAACAAACACTTAATATTTATGTCATTCGAGCTGCCCTTTACTTGTTTTTCGGCAATATTGCTATAAACGTGTTTGGTTTCAGTTATAAAATAAATACGAGTTGCCTGGGAAGTCTTAGGAATGTAAATCGGTAATTCGAGAGGCTTTAGGTAACGAAAGCTTTGACTGATCTGGTCTGGTAAGTGACAAAGCCTCTGGTTTATATGTATGACTCAAAGCCGCTATAGATCCCGTAGTGGAATTTACAAATGACTCAATGTTCTGCCGAGTGAAAGCATTTGGGTGTTGAAATTTCTGGGTATTTCCGTTTTCTTTGATATTTTTAGAAAACATGAAATTTAGGGATGGTTTCTTTTGGATCAAAAACAATTTTGGTTATCATAAATAGATAGATTTGTTGCCAATAATTTTAATTTTTAATCGATATTGATTAATTTGTTTTTAATATTCTGATGACAAGGATTCTTGTTATTATTAATATTCCATTTAATACTTATTTAAATAATTGAGTTTTTCTAAACACTGAAATGGGCTTTAGGTTTTTATATCTTGGCAGTTTTCTCTAAGCCCATTTGATGTGGTTTTCTTAATGGCCAGCACATGAGACCGTCCCATTCGCCCCTTTGGCAACTTCTGCTGGATGTTGTTTGTCTGTCCATTCGAGACGTAACTCATAACCAATTGCCATGAATGAAATTCGCATTTCATTACATGCCGTCGACGCCTGAATGCGACGCAGTCGGTGGCCGGTTTTTGTGTGGTTTTCCACAGCAAACGACAATAGCTACACACGTTCGGCGAAAACAAAAAAAAATTGTCAATAAAGTGCAAAAGGAGACGGCCCGGGGCTGGGCAAAAAAAATTTAAAAAAAAAGAAACAGAAATTGCCACAGAGAAACGTGTTGCAGCGCCACGGGGCTTGGTGGCCCATCCCATCTGGGGACCCCATCCCATCTCGAATCCCGAATCGAGTGCAATCGCGGCGCAAAGTGACCGCCTGTAAATTCGTATTAACTATCCGCTAGATACCCGCGTACTTTCACAAAAACTCGTTCGAACAAATGGCACAAATATGAGCATTTTATTTACTGCACTCTTTTTCTTTCGTTTTATGCAATTTTTTGAGATTTTTTTTAGCCTGGCCCATAGTTGCTTTATTAGCAACGTGCCAAGCGCAAACAAACCAAGACAAGAAGCCAGGCAAACAAAAAGGCAAATCAACTGAGCAAACAAGAAGTTTGTAAAGGGAAAACTGCATTTTGGCACGAACTTTTGGGGGAGGCGGGTGGAGGGAGGCGTGTTACGCAGTAAATTTAAAGAGTGAAATAAACCCCACAATAATTATGCACATAAAGCACAGCAACTTTCCACTTTTCCCCCAAACTGCTCAGCATTTCCAAGGCACGCACTTGCTTGTGTTTTATTTCTATTATTTTATTTCGGTTTTTTTGCCCGCCGCTCATTGTTTACCAAATATGTTTCTTAAATTTGCTATTGCTTGCATAATAATCGAAACGATGCAGATTAAACGTCTGTGGTCATGGATTTCTGTGCCCTTTGTTTGCCATAATATTTTTCACCAGCAGCCCCATCTTTTCCCCGCTTTTTGCTTTTCTCCCAGGCTGAGTGGGCGATAAGCGAAACGTGATTGATTGAATACAAGCTGGGAGAGAAGAGATATGACAGGTCTGGGACCTCGAATGGGTTTCAGTCTGGGTCTCTCGGGGGTCTCGCCTCTATCTTTATCAGCTGCCCCGTTGTAGGTGATTTAACACAGGTTTTTGGGTTCCATTCGATAAGCAACAGCTGCAGATACTGCGCTCAGATAATTGCAAACTTGAACTTTGGGAATTCGTGTTTTTAATCTGGGTTAAAAGAGATTTGGCTTGCAGGTTTGCAGGTCAGTTTTTTGGTAAGGTTGTTATAAATTGGGTTTTCTACATTATATTAAATAAATAAATATGGTTAAGAAAAATAGTATAAATTTAAATTATAAGAAATTAAATTGTGTTATTTAAGTGAAAAGTTTTATTTAAGTTGTTATTGTTTTTAAAAAATTTTTTCTTTTAGCTTAGAAATAATTTTTCAATAAATGTCTTTTGCAAATCTTTATTTACCCATACTTAAAATACAGATGGTTAAAGATTATTACCACAATAAAACAATTATTGTTGGACTTACCAACAATTCTTTCATCACGATGACACTCATTTCTTATTTATGTCTGTTTCCGAGTGTTAAAAGTTCAATTTCCTCTGACACTCTTCTTTTTTTCTGTGTCTTCTCTTTTGCAAAATAAATAAATAACTCGAAATACCACCCAATGATCATTTCTTTCGTTTTTTGCCAGTAAATCAACAGCTTGTTGTTAAGTTTTCCCCCTCTCTCTCTACAGCCATCATGCCGTCTCTTTCTTTGCCTATCTTCTTTTTTTCGTGGTGCGTCAAGTTGGCACGACAGGCGGCGGGAGAAAGTTTTTCTTTTTCTTTGCCAAACTCGAGAAATAAAACCAAAAAATTAACGCCAAATATAAAATACAAACAAAGGCGAAACAAAAAACGCAACAAAAATGTAAAGTGTGCAGTGCAAACATGTGATTATATATCCATACCCACAAATGCGCCTTATATAAGATATATATCGTCTGCGGCATTAAAAACGCATAACAATTAATTGTTGAAAAACAATCAACGACGGCAAATGAATCAAAAGTAGATGACACTCTTGTTTATGTGCAGTATAAAAACAGCAAACACCCCACGTCAATTTCAATGGGCGATGAGCAGTTTGTTTACTGATGTTTTGGCCAACAGTATCTGTATTTTCAGCAAGCATTCCACGCATGGCCATCAAAGTAAATTACTTAATTTATGCCTCAAATGTGTCGCCGAGCGCTTTCTACATCCCCACCCATGTAAAAAACGCGCTTCTTGCGTAACGCAACTTTAAAGTTTAAACGCATGCAAAACGCGTGCAGCGAAAGCAGGGCAAACATTTTGTACGAAGTTACATCAGTTTGAGATTCAGATTCCCAGTGAACTCGGGGTCACCGGGAAATTAACTGATAAAAGCTGGGACGTTGGACTTTGCTCCCCGGCAAATCAATACCAAATTGTAAATAATTGAGGCAGCCCAAGCCAAGGTCTGACCCTCATTATTGCTTTATCAGCTGGGGAAACAAAATTCGGGGAAAATGGGGGCACTGAGCTGCACTTTTCTGACAGTCTGCAATTTATGCCACCGAAAATGGGGGAAATAGGAAAAATTCTCAAGTGCCAGAAGACGACCCCTGAAAAACAGACAGTGAAACTAATTTCGAATTCCGAATTTTCTATTTTTCATTTCTATTTTTAAAGGCCAGGGGAGAAGTGTTCCAGAAAAGCAGAAAGGGATTTCAGTTAAGCAGATATTCAAGTAGCTAATAAATAAATATAAATCTATCTCATGGATATTGATCAACAAGAGAATTCCATTAGGCACTAGAGTCCAGGGCTGGCTGTTAATGTTAATTCAATTATATTCAGTAAAAGTAATTTACTTTTTTCGAGCCGGAAAGGCGGAGAAAGAAGGAAGGTGGAAAATGAAAAATGAAAGCGTTCTTAATTGCGACCGACGACACGTCAGTTGCTTTTTTTTATTATTACTTACATAGTTATTTTCTCCTACGCTCACTTACAATATTTATGGGCATGAAATGGAAATATCTGGCCAGGATCCTCATCAAATTGAAAAATTTATTTGCGCATGCGCAGCAACTGGCACGCCATACAAAGTTGTTCGTTTTTTTTTTGCTTTCTGTAAATGTATCTGCATGCGCATGAGCAATGTGTATCTATCAGATATATCTGCGTCTGTGATCGCGCTCTTCTTTCACTCCAGACATTTTCTAATAATTGAAAAGCAAAGTGTGGCCACGGCAGCAAATTGAATTATAATTTCAATTATGAACCGTTGAAAGCGGAAGAAAAGCC